CCGTGTCCCACCTCCGCAGCCACTGTGGTGCTCAGGCCATCGCCCACATTCCTGGTCCAGGGTTGCCCCCTGGGGTGCTGCCTGGGACTGGTCCCTGTGACCAGGCGTCCAGGAGCTGACCTGCCACCTGCATCAGACACCTCTGGACAAGGCAGAAGTGGCTCTTGCTTCTGACCTTTCATGCTCAATATGTTGTCTGCTGTGTGCCATGGACCCTCCCCAGCTCTGGAAGTACTGAGGGCCCCATGAGCTCTCCTGCAGGACTCATCTCCATAGCATTGGTACTACTCTGGAGTACTAAGTGGTTTCTAAGCATTATCTCAGCTTGTGAGCTGAAGTTTGGTAAGTCCATTTCACAGGCGAGAACCTGCGACACACTGAGGCTCAGGTCTGTGGTGCCCTTTAGCTTTGGGTTCCCAAATTGAGGGGTGTGGGAACGGATTTTGAGACTACCCAGAGTTATTCTGTACAGCCTGCTGACTTTGCTTGCATTACTGAGGGCTCTTCCTTGTTTCCTACTATCTGAAGGCTGTTTTCTTGTTCCCTACAACTGCCTATACCCATCTTCTGTTCCTGGCATTTTCACCCCTCCAGCATTTTGTGCTGCTCACAGTTCAAGCCCCCTCATGCTTCACCTCTGTGTATCCCCTTCCTTAGTCTTACTGTCTCCCAGGGGTTTAGTTTTTGTTGCTGTTTCCTTGCCTAGCTTACATACTCATGGGTCCCCTTTTCTTTCCTTCCACAACTACCCTACCCAGGCCAAATAATCCTTCTAAGGTGCCCAATCTAAATTACTTTCTATTTTTTTTGCCCACTAATCCAGACCTACATTGCTCATGGCTTGAGGTCATGGACGCTGCTCAGCTGAGTGTCCACAGCACAGCCAGCCCAGGCATGGGCAGCTACAACTGCTGATGACCTTCAGAGAGTGCCTCTTACAGCCTAGACAGCCACCACCACTTTCTCTTGAGGACTGCAAGCAATATACATTTCTTCAACCTTTCTGCATTCTCCACCTAAGAAACAAAATTTCAGTCTGAAAGGCTGAAATGTGGCACAGTTAGAAGAAACTGAGTTTGGGCCATACCTGGTGCTCAGGAGCACTGTTAGTAGCCCACAGCATGGTGTGGTTCTTAAGCAGTATTGTACAGTGAAATTCCAAGATGAGGTCAGGATGCAAATATAGCAGGTAAGAAGAGCTGATTGACAAAAAAAAGACACCTATGGAAAAGGAAGATAGGGAGAGGAAGAAATTGATGTCCTTTATTGCTGACATGGCTTTCCCCTGTCTCTCTGCCTTTCTCCTTTCATATTTGTTCCATTTTGGACCCAGAAATGAATGCAAATTAGTCTAATAAAATTTCCCAGCTGAGATACAAAACATTTGGAAATGATTTTTAAAATATACCATGCAGCTGAAATGTCATGGTTAATTTTAATCTGCAGCATGCAGCTAATATCCTCTGGCCATTTCAGAGGTGCAGAAGATTGTAATTATTCACCTGTTAAAATAAATGCAGCTTTAACAAGTCTGATCACAGTTGAAAAGGAGGAGTGGAGAGGACAGGTAGACAGATGCTGTCTCAGTGTGTCATCTGTGAATGATGCCTTTGCAGCTCTTTGGGAGGAATTATCAAGCTGGAAGGAAAAAAGCCCATAATAAAAAGTGGACTGTTTCCTGTAATAGCAACTTTTTCGATATTTTTCCTTTGACAAAATTTTCCCAGCTTTGTAACACTGCAACACAAACAGTGCTCGTGCAGTGCCCAGCTGGTCTAACCTATCCTTTGTTATGGAGATGAAAAAATAAGTGAGATGACACAAAATTATCACCAGTGGTGACCGAAGCACTCCTTTGTAACTGCTATCCAATAGTGTCTGTACAGCAATGGCTGTTTGCTGCTTCCCCTCACCAGCATTTTGGCATTTTTTGCCTTTGATCAAAACTTTATAGGGCCTCATTCATCAGGCTGTTAATTCATGACTGATCCCACCCCTTGAGCTTCAGCTGCATGAAAGAGGAGTTTTGCAACTGTGAGGGAAGCTTATGGCCATCCTTGGGCCAGAAGAAGGGATGCAGGAACCTTTTGCTGGGTCTTTGGATGTTAAGAGCTAGTCCCCCTCCAGGACGTGCTGGTGCACCAGTGGTCACTGTAAGTGCTCTCTGAAGTCCTTCTCTCAGTGACATGTGGCCGTCTCTTGATTTTGTCCAGCGGATAGAGAGAGGGGTTCAGGTCACTGAGAGGTGGACTTGACCTACATCTCACCAAGTAATAGCTTCCAAGCATAAGCTGTGTGAGAAGCCTCAAGTGACTGCCACCATGCCCAGGACATGTGACGTTTGGGTTTTGGCTTTAGCTACAAGTACGGGAACATTGTGTCACACTGGGAGCTTTTTTTTCTGCTATTAATTGAGTAAAATGTAGAAAAGTGAGCTGCCCCCTCATAGTGGCCGGGGAATTTCTCATCTCCTGAACCCTAAGCTCAATCAAATGCACTTTTCCATCTGCTTTTACCTGGTGTTGCATGTTTTGCTGTTTGGAAGGTAATGTTCTATACCATCTCTATCTTAATTTTTGTATTTAATCTTTAAGAAAAACACCTTGATCTTCCTTCAGTCCACAGTGATCTCAGCTGGGAAGTTTAAATCATAAAACCCTTTCTCACAGGAGGCTGTGCCCATGTAGCAGTAGAGAGAAGTTTGCTCATCAAAATCATGTCACTCGCCCATGGAAGGTAAAAAGCACTTTGAAGTGGTAATGAAGGAAGTTCCTGCTGCTTAACAGAAGGCTTTGATAAGATCATATTCTTTGGGAGACTACTTATCAGAAGAGCTGTGATTCATTTTGTGGAAACAAAGATCCCAATGGAAAGCAGTTAGATGGGAAGATCTGGCTGTTCACCCTCCTAATGAAATGCAGCCTCCTTCCTTTGTGCACTGCCTTTGAAGAAGCAGGTGTGGTGGTCCTGGGCCATCTCCCATCTACATACTGGCTGTGTTTGCTGAGGGCTTCAGAACCAGCAGCTGATGACAATGTGTTTTTCAGCTTAAGCACAGTGAACTCCTTCAGGCTTTTCGGTCTTTCCACTTCTGGGGAAAAAAATGTACATTTGGTAGGGAAGTGGAGAACTCTGGCTTGTCCCTCACAAGGCTGTGATAGCAATGTCATTCTTCTCCCATCCCCCACGTTGTGCTCAAAGCGTCCCTGCCCCCAGATTCTTGTTCCTTCTCCTGTGTCTCATGGGTTTTTAATCTGAGCTACACTTTGTGCTTTCTCGGTTGAAGTATTTTACAGAGGGATTTTTTTTAAAAAATTCAGGATATGTGCCTATCTTATACCTTCTGCTCTGGCCCTGCATATTACTTTATCTGACCTCTATTTTTCAATTTGTCCAGCCTAGTAAACCCTTCTGGCAGCGTGCTGAAAGCCAGCAGATATTTCAGAGTCAGGGCAGCACCCCAGCCCCTCAACAACTTCAAGTCATGCAATCTCTCAGGTAGAGAAAGTGATGAAAGTAACAACAGGTGGTAGCTTTCCAGACAACTGACCCATTTTTAGGGAAAAAAAAAAAATCAGATTTTCAAGAGACTGAAGCAGTCGGAATGCTTTGGGACCACCAAGAACAAGCATTGATAAGCTGTACAGTGTATTATTAAAAATAGGAAGTAATAGTACACTATGCAAAAATCCTAGTTTCACTAGCCATATATTGGCTGGTGTGTCAACCTACAGCTGTGCAGGAAAGACTCTCATGATTTCTAAGAAGAGAAGACTAATGTGAACCTCAGCTACTCATGGAGGTTTTGAGAAAGGAGGTGATAGTATGAGGCTATCTAAGGGTCCTAGTGGGAGATGCTGAATTCCCTGAACAAATCACAACAGGCGTTTCTGTTCCCACTTTGTGGGGTTGGAGCAGTGTGACAGCTGTTAACAGCTTCCTGCTTGGGTAAATTATATCAGCCCCTGCTTTGCAAAGGTTGCTGTAATGGCTTTTTAACAAGAATTTATCCAGGAGCCATGACACGGAGCGTAAGTAATTGCAATCATATGGTATCTGTGTCACTGATGGTTTCTGCTATTTTGTAGTAACTACTCTAATACCATGTGTAATTGGAAAGAAAGGTAGTATTTTTTTTGCTTTCTTAAGAATAAGAACTGATGTTGAAATAGGGAATGGCTCTTAAAATCCTGCTGTGTATTCATGTAAATCTACATGGTATGAAATACAATCATTCTTATCTAATACTATCTAAACTAATGTTGTACCCATGAAACTACTATCAATTTTTTCTGCTTTTGAGTTAAATATTTTTAAATCACTATAATAATCTACCATATAAATCATTCACTGTTTTGGGTTTGAAAGAGAAGCAAGACTGACTCTGGACACGAGAGTGTCTTGTGTTATTCGTGTGTGACTTCTTATTCTTGAAAGACTCAAATTAGATTTAAAAATAAGGAAGCTTCTGCACTCCTATAAGTTTCCTTTATCAGTATGTGAGAAATAGGAATCTATGAGCAAGGCAAAGAGTAATTTACTTTGCTTTTGTGGGTCTAGCTTTCTAAACAAAGTACACTCATGTTATTGCTTCTGGGAACATCTGCATTTAAATCACAGTACAGGAATGCTATCTGCTGAGAATACACCTTCTCTTCTCCAGGGAAAGGATCCTGGTGTGTCTCAGGAACAGGAGGTCACTGAAACAAAAAAGGCAGGAATGAAAGCAATGTCTTTATGTAGAATAACTAAATATTGCTAAACTAGATCTGAGTCAGACCAGCTCCTCTCATCCAAAAGGAGCCCAGCAGGTTGAACACTGCTTCTGACCTCATATTTTTCATCTCCCTAGAATCTCTATGGGTGAATTTGTTTTTCAGGCAAGATTAGCAAAGGAACCACCTCCCACATAACAAAGTATACTTCTTGTGAAACCTGACAACGTTTCAATTTCTCAATGAGAAATGAGTAATTAATACCTGTTGATTTATTTTTCACAGGCATCAGGGTTACGTTTATACCTACAGAGTGTCCAAGACAGAAAGTGGATCCTGGAGTGCTGAGGTGTGTAATTCTCCTTTCTCTTCTGAAAATGCTACATCGTGTTTGAGGTCTGTATTGATTGAACGAAATATATTCAAATTATTCATGTTTCTGCATAGTCTGATTTTCATCAAAGGTAATCGATCTTGAGTGTGCCCATCACTAAGATGTCTTGGTGCCACCTCTGACAGACTTGAACTCATAAATTAATTCCCTGCTACATTTCAGCTGTTGCATAATGCAAGAGTGCATTATTTTGCATCATTTTAAATGGCAAAAAATGTTGTGTTTTTATAATTTGACAAGTGCAATCCGTTCTCTTCTATCCCACATGCTGTTAATGTTGGAATATTAAGGAAACTATTTTCAGTCTACAGTGTTTTAAAGTTAATTTATCTCCAGATTAATTCGTCATTGGTGCAAAATGTGTGTAGGGTAGCCACAGCTTGATACAAAAATATATTTTCACCCATCTGGTGAGAAACTGGTAATTCAAGTGTAGAATAACACCATTTGCAATGCAAACAACTATTTGCATAGATGGAGTTGGGATGCTAACCTGTATTTCTTTGATGAAGTTCTTGTTCTTTGGATGTGCTCTGTATTAATTAATAATTAGCTTTCTGTTTGCACATTAATGAACGCTGATTACAAATGTTAAATAACTTCTAGACTTACCTCACTGACTTTTAGGCAAAGCTTATCTGTGCTTCACAGCATAAGTGTCCCGAAGGCCCAGGACTCTCAGCACATCCTCTGCAGGGAAAGGTGCTAACTACAGGCCCCTGATACCAGCCCTTCCTTTAAGCAAACAGCAGTCGTTAAGTAAATGTTGCTAAGGCTGCATTGGCCTCAGCTGTTAGAAACAGCAGCTTAAATCCAATTTATCCCCATGAAATGTGCCTTCAAGGCCAAAACAAGCTCCAGCTGCAGCTGGTGCTTTCCTGCTTTTGCTTCCTTCCCTGGGGCTGGTCAGTCTCAGAGCAAGCTCAGGTCGCACCAATCTTTCAAGGACAAGGCAGGGAAATGAAACCAGTGCTGGTAAAATCCCAGACAACGTGAGGCCTCTAGCTGGTGCCAGCAAGGCAGGATTTAGCCCATGACTACTGGGTGGGAGCAGCATCCCTCTGGTGGGACTATGCTGGCAGGACCTGTGCTTGTCCTCCCCTGACTTTGGTGGGGAGGAGTTATTATGAGTCTGCCCTGAAGGATCTAACAGGAACACTGGATTTTTGATGAAAAGCAGGCACAGTTTTGTTTCACAGTGTTTGAAAAGATGCTGACGTAGAAAGACAGAAAAACTCCCACTTTTCATAAACAGGTAACATTTTGCTGCTGCCTTGGTACAACAGCTAGACAGGAGTAGTGAATGCTCTGAGAAAAGCTTGTAAAGACCCTGTGCCCGTGCCTGAATTTAGTGGTGTAAAGGACTCGTGACACTAGTAAGTGCCACGTAGCTCTCTAGATTGTTTTACTGGTATTTCCAGGCTGTGTCTCACTGGTAAACCCCAGGCTGGAGGTTAAATCGCTGGCTGCAATAAGTCAGGGTGAGAAGCTGTGGAAGCTCACTTGGCAATGTGCCTCCTAAGCACAGCAGGCTGGGGGCTTCCCCTGTAGTGACCGAGGAACCGTCCCTCCTCCAGCCCCACATCCCCCACTGCTGGAGGCCGCTGGGAGCGCGGGGATGTCCCGGGGAGGAGGGAGGAGAGCAGACCCACTCATTGACCCCTCTTGAGGTGGCCCATCGGGGGTCGCACGCAGGGCTGGGTCCCCCCGAG